AGAGACTTTATCGTTTTCCGATACGAGGAAGCTGGAAGATCCGTTTATATTCTTAGGAAAAGAGGCAGTCAAGACGTTGCAGTTCTGAAAAGCCTCTTTCGATTATATCTGAAGGAAGGATAGAGAGCGGTGTGTGTGTGTGTGTGTGTGTGTGTGTAGTGTATTGTTAGTGCGTGAGTGTGTTGTCTTTCTGAAACAACCTTTCTAATATCTACTTCTAAGGAGAAGTCCACACTGACAAAGTCCTTGCACAGGGGTGTAGAACAGGAAACAGAGGGGCTGAATGCCCAAGGACGTGGGAGGCTCAACTTCACATTCATCTCATCATGAAGTCTTCGTCGTACCACGAAAGGGACATCCCGGTTGTGACAACAGTACTCAGTATGGGAGACGATAAAGACATCGACTACAAAGAGGGTGTGACCCACGAGGAGTATCTCGTCATAGCATGGGTCCTCACTCTAGTGGCAGTGGTTGGAACAGTGTGCAATGCTCTCGCCGTTACTGTGTTTTACAGGTGAGACAAAAAAAGCTTCCTGGTTTTGAATAACTTTGTTTTATTCAGTAAGTTTCGAACTCCCTTCAGCCTTTGTAACTGACGTTTGACAGTCTTATATGGCTTAATGTATTAAAATGTTATATTATGGCTCATCAAGAAATATTATGGATAAACGCCTTCATTATGAGCGACATCATCCAGATTTGCGAGCAATGGACCGTCGTTAAGCGCCTTTACAGGCCAATAATTGAGTTAAAAATAATAAAGGTTTACGATTACTATAATTAAACAGAGAAAAATATATAAAACATAATTTATAATTGGGTGACCTGCTACCGCGTTGGAAAAGGAGGAAGGAAGGGGCATTGTGTAATGGACTACATCTTTAATCAACAAGTGGGTACAGGCATAAGATAAACAGAAAATAGAGCCAGCAAGGATACAAGCTATCGTCTTTACTCTTGAGATATCGCAGGGTGTGTATACGACGCCACCTATGGATGAACCGCAAGGTCAGCTGAGCCTGAGAGTGGGCTGTTGTAATTCCTCGGCTCCGGGAAATCTTTGTAAAAACATTTAATCTGTTTGCAGTAATGTTCTCTTTCCTGTTCTCAAAGTATTTTCTTCTGAACAGCTCTCCAACGGCGTCTTTGGTATAGTGTTAAGGGGGGGGGGGCTACACCTGGAGGCTATCTCGCTTATTACTGGACCGGAATTTACCACATTTCACACATATAACAAGCATAGTAAGGAGTCTTGAAATCCGCAATCAAATTTGAGAAAAAAGTTTCGTTTCCATGTATACGCCGCC